GTCATGTGGGGTCACGTGACCTTGAGATGACCTTGGAAGGGGTCACGTGACCTTGGGGGTCACGTGACCTCGGGGGTCACGGGACCTTGGGGAGGCGACCACGTGACCTCTGGGGTCACGTGACCTCAGAGGGGTCACGTGACTTGGGGGTCACGTGACCTTCAAAGGGTCACGTGGGGTCATCTTGGGGTCACGTGACCTTGAGATGACCTTGGAAGGGGTCACGTGACCTCGAGGGGTCACGTGACCTTCAGGGGGTCACGTGACCTTGAGATGACCTTGGGGGTCACGTGACCTTGGGATGACCTTGGTTACGCCGACGCCGACGGCGACGGCGACGGCGACGCCGACGGCGACGCCGCTCAAGCCGGGAACGGGCCCCTAAGAGCTGCGCTCTAAAACGCACTAATAGCATCAGCGTTCAGTGCGGAAGCTTCAAGACAGCAAGCAATGTAGCCTCCAATTTTTGCTTCCGCGTTTAACAATACACATTATATCCGGTCCTGTAAGAAAACTGAAGCCTAAACTGCGGGTGGATAAATCAATAGCCATGCCACAATGGGTTCTGTCGGGATCCATATTTACAGCAACAGTGACCCCCTTGTCTAGAGCGAGCGTGATCATTGAGCCTCAATCATCGGAAGTTGTTAGAAAGGGGACTCAAGTGAAGTCTCTTTTTACCTTTTTAGGGCCGCTGAGCCGAAGGTCTATCAAGACTAATGTAAAGCATCATGTCATCTTTTTTGTTGCCATTACCTGGATGGCGAATCTTCCATTCAAATTTATATCTGGCAAATGTTCTACAGGTAGGTGATATATATTTTTTTTCAAGGTGTAATCTAAATGCACGGAAGGCTAAATACAACTCTGCAAGAATTTCGCGTTTCGCGTGTCTATTTTGTCGAACCTTAGAGGATGGTCTTCGAGGATAATTTTTATTGTAAATAAAATTTTTTTGTCTGGAGTGTAATTTTCTTATTCTTGAGTTCTAGAATGCGCCGTCTATCGGAATTTAATATTTTCCTATATTTTCGTAATAATTCGTAAAAATTTAATCTGCCTTAAAAACTCTTAAAACCTCATAAAGTCATCTTAATTAGGAGCCATAGTGTTAGAATTCTTAAAAAATAATAAAAAAAACAGTTTCTCCTTTTGTGAAAACCACAATAATTGTGGTTTTCACAATTATTTTTGTGGTTTTCACAATTATGTTCACAATGTGAAAACCACAGTTTTCACATTGTGGTTTGTGGTTTTAGGCTTATTATTCATAACAATAAATAATAAGCCTAAACTTTAAGCCGAAACTAAAGCTGGTGCAAACGCATATCCTTAAATTGGTAGTATATAGTGGAATGTTTTGGTCTTACCTTCCCTCTCCCCTAAAAAAAGACTAATTAAACACATCCAAAATAATCTAAAATAAAAAAATAACCGGCGGCAACTCGTCTGATAAAATAAAAGGTCTAAATGAAGCTCATTATTACAAACTTGAATAAATCACAAGATAGATTTTTTTTCATTTCTTTTTTTTTTTGCGAGGGATACAACGTTTACAGCCAATAGATCGTAATATATTAAAGTACAGGGTGATTCACGGAGCCGCCAGGCTCTTTAAATCGACCCCGAAATTCGGTTTCTTAACCTATCACGCAACGACTTTGTGCAGCGTTGCCCACAGATAGTGATTTATTTTTTTTTTTTGTGAAATTTGCAAAGAGCGAATTTACCTGAGGAAAAAGTAAAGAACGAAAAAAGGCTTAGCTCTTATGGAAACGCTGCGAAGCCACCGGTCTTCAAGCAACACGGCGCCGTTTCGCAAGGGAGACAAGAGATGGCGCAAGTGGTCGCGACGCCAACTGCCACCAACGAACGAGCATACGACGCTGAGAGCCGGCGTTTTTAGCAGACGAGGAACTGCACTTCCTTGTTGTTACCGCGCCTGTTTTTGTTTCTGCGACTGTCACCGCCTGCGGAACGCGCCCCACTTTTGAGTCGAAAAGATTGTCGGCTAAAAACGCCGACTCTCGGCGCCGTATGCTCGTTCGTTGGTGACGTTCGTTGCGCCATCTCTTGCCTCCCGTGCGAAACGGCGCCGTGTTGTTGGAAGACCGGTGGCGTCGCTGCGTTTCCATAGGAGCTAAGCTTTTTTCTTTCTTCACTTTTTCCTCAAGTAAATTCGCTTTTTGCAAATTTTACACAAAAAAGAAAGCACCATCTGTGGGCAACGCTGCACAAAGTCGTAGCGTGATAGGTTAAAAAACCGAATTTTTCGGTCGATTTAAGGAGCCTGGCGTCTCCTTGAATCACCCTGTATATAAATTCGGTGCACTGGATGGGACGAACCTCCTGACCCTTAAAACCAGTGATGTCAAAGTCATCTAGATTCTGTGGAATCAACTGAAACGAAATATTTCATTTTCTTTGAGCATAAAATTCATATTAGGCAAACAGCGATAATTCCATAATTTTTCTCGCGCTTCCGTTCATCCGGTTCCCCGCAATATCTAGCGGGGAGATTTACCTCACAATAAGATGATGGTATCACAGGGAACCACAACTTTGCGCCTTGATGTCATGCCACGTGGCTTTATGTTACGCAAAATTAATATCCCCCAAATTTAGAGGGAAGTTGACGTCGCATGAACTGATGTCATATCATCTTACATGACGTAATGCTATGAAATGACCCGAAAAATTGATATCCCCTATATCAAGTTGTGTTATGTCGCGTGTCATATTGTCATAAATGACAATTTATGAGGCGACAAATGGATAAAGGAAACCAACCATTTAAGGGGGCTAACTTTTGCCCCAAAAACAATAGAACGCTAGCGTTGCAGGCGGCGCAACAGCAGACTCGAGCGCTGGGGCGAGACCGACTGCGGCAAGCCACGCGAAGTCTGTGGTCTTCAGGAACGAATCCCGGAGAAAAGCTCACCGGAGAAAAGCTCACCGGAGGAAAGCTCACCGGAGATAAGCTCACAGGAGAAAAGCTCACCGCAAAACTGGCGGATGCGGAGAAAAGTTCATCGGCCATTGAATGTATGCGAAGAAAAGCTCACCGCTTTTTTTTCTTCTATTTATTCGGAGGCAGTTGGATTATGCGTAACATATAAATTTATTATTATTAAAATTCTACAGCTTTGTAAAAAAGAAAAAGTCGTTTTCTGTAATATTTGTTAAGCTTATTAAGTATACTACTCCCAAAATATTTATTGCGGGCGAGTGTTCTCCTGTGGCTTACTGTCTAGGCAACGAAAGCCTAACTAAGAACTTTATGCCATTGAAGAACAGGAAAAAGTTTGAAAACTTAATAATGTCTGCCTAAAACCTAAAAGTCAAAACTGTAAATGCCGAACATTCGAAAGTGCATGCGCAACAACGCGGTCCCTGAAATTCTCTTCGAAGATTGTGTGCCCTTTTGAAAACGGTCAGTAGGAAATCAAGGCTTTTTTCTTCCACGGACATGCACGTTTTCTAGCCGCTCGTGCTGGTGTTTCCACACGGTGCCTTTGTGTGATAGTGCCCTTCTACGGTGAGCCACCCATGACCTTCAGAGCCGCACACTGGCACCGTTGTTACTCGTGACCTACATAAGAAGTAGTATTCTTCAAGGTAACGAATAGGGCGAGTTGGTAAACGTTACACATGATGAAAACCGCTCAGATGACGACGACGGAGTGAAGACAACAAACATGACACGACGAATTTGTTCTCGCCACTAAAGTTTTGTTAGTGAAATTGACAGAAAGAAAACAGCGTACACTGATTACATCAACAAACATCTACTTATCTATTAGGCAGTACACAATATTCGGAGCTGAAACGGTTCAGACACCGCTGTTCATATTAGCTCGCAAAGAGCAAACCTCTTTATCTGACAGAGCTACCGACGACGCACTGTCAGCTGTCAATAAATTGTTGTCTTTTTTACCAGTGCATGATGTTTTGATTTTATACTTGCGGCATCATTAGTACACAGAATGGGTGATCACTAATTTCTGAAGAATTAGTAAGTATGCTTATGAACTTTAAGAATATTACAAAAAAAGGACATATGTTTAATGAAGTGACTAATGCAAATTGTGTTAAATTGCCTCGTTTGACTGAGAATCCGCTAAGTTAAAATAAAATCGGTGAGCTTTTCTCCGCATCTGCTCAAAGGCCGGTGAGCTTTTTTCCGCATTTGCCGGTTTTGCGGTGAGCTTTTCTCCGGTGAGCTTATCTCCGGTGAGCTTTTCTCCGGTGAGCTTTTCTTCGGTGAGCTTTTCTGCGGTGAGCTTTTCTCCGCCGCCCCTCTGGAACAATGGGTGTAGAAATTGCGGCGCGTAGTACATTCGGACCTCGAACAAGCCCCCAACAGGGTTCTCGAATTTTCCAGAACGTTACATTTACAGAAACAATAAAAAGGTTCATTCGCGGCCATCCATCTAACCTCGAGCCTTTGCGTGAGAGCCAAGCGCAATAACCATTGGGCCAAGGGCGCGCTTGGTCGGAAACACGCGTGGCATTCTTCCCCCTTTAAAAAAAGCATCGTCTTGATGCAGCGTGCAAGGAAACAAAACAAAGCAAAACAAACAAAATGAATGATAAAATATGGAGTGTGGTAAAACAGTCCTATCAAGCGTAGTGAAATAGACCAAGAGACGAAAAAGAAAAACTATTAATACTTTTTGTCTTGATTTCTAACATAAACATAAGAAAGAAAAATCGGAACACGTATATAAAAGTAAAAGGCTAGCCGTCTGGGAAAAATTGGAATACAAGACTGGGTCGGGTTTAACAAGCCCAGTAACTCTCTCTTCATTTATGTGGGTGTTTTTGAAGGATATATACCTTTCATCACTGAAAAGCAAAAAAACAGTAATACAATTCGAAAGGTGAACGACGTGATCCAAAAGTATTCGTTTTTTTACGATTTCCATAAGCTTACAGCGGCTAGTAAGCAGTATTGTATTTCAGTTGTAACCATTTAGAAGATTCAAGGCGACACTTACCATATTGGATGGATTTATGGATCCGAAACTTCTTATGTATATCTCGCAGGTTACTCTGGTAGCAATGCCTGCAAGGCAACGCTTCACTATTAATTTCACGAAAGCGTGCAAACCTTGCTAGTACGGACATATTGAAAAACTTACCCAAGTGACTGCTTGGTAGTGCTCTTCGGTCGTAATTCCTCAGTAGTTCGTCCAAAATATCCAGATCATCGGCTTTTGAATGGGAACTTCCTCTGTAAGCAAAATTTAATATGTAGAGTTAAAAAACCAATAATTATTTGTAGTGGGAAAATTGTATTCATATTTCTCTAACGAATTTAGAGCAATATTCGTTGCATGTTAAGGTATAAAAGACCTATCTGAAGTAATGTCTGAAGCATAAATAAATATAACCTCTTTTAAAAAGAATTGATGACTATTTCACATGTATATTTCTAAAACAGTGCATTCTCTTGAATATTGATCTTTTGTAATAATGCAGGACACATTTTCACCCTATCATGTGCATGCTCTTTTGTAAGGGTATTTAGTGGCTAAATCTATTCTGCAAAACATTCTGCTTGCAAATCTGCTGATTTAGAATGGCTACGCGGTGATTGCCTTTTAGTCTCAAATTACGGGAAGGCCAGGAATGCACACTGCTGGCACGTAACTCCAAAAGAGCTTGAACCCCAATTTTTAATCCAGGACACAGATGCAATTGAATCTTCTGGTACACAGCGAAATCGCATCCCAGAGCTTGTTCCACCGCCTCTTAAAATACGATTTTCTGCCAGTAGACCTCGAGCAAAGGCCCACCTAACAGTTATTAGACAACCAATGTCAGAAAATTGTCTTCATGTAACCAACAACATGAATATGGCTTATATCATTGTACGTGTACGTTTCTATGCTAAAAGAACTGAGCGAATAGTAGTGAGACTACTTTCTGTTTTTTGCATGCGAGGAGGCAGAGGGGCAGCGTTGTGTTGATGTGAGGGAAGGTAATACATTCACGTGTATGAACCTGCACTTGAAGCGTCTTAGACATTTGTGTTATATCGCTGCGAGTGAAGGCTTCTCATACATGTGGTCATGGCGGATGAAGATTCCATAGAAAATCATGGCAGAAGTTCGTTATTTCATTTTGAATTAACCTTTAAGAGCAGTCACTGCACTGATACACACGTCATATAGCTCGGATTTATCCCGGTGTGAGTTTTGGGAATTTTTAACACCACAAAAAAAAACGAAAAGCTACACCCAGGTATGCTCTCCTCATTTAACGAAGCAAACAAAGTCGCGGCTGCACTGCTGAAATTGAAGGCACGAAGCATTCCTTAATATATTTGAATATCTTTTTAAAGATTGAAACCGATATATTAAGTCTGAAGGATGATAATTAAAATGTGATTAGCGCTCGTAGAATCACGCAATTCTCAATAAAATATCGGTCTCATTACATTTTATTTGGCCCTCGTACAATGTTAGCATGCTGCGACATCTGAGTGTACGTTTAGGCGCACTACAACAAACTAGATTAAATAACTTACATGCATGCCTGAAGCATTCAAGTTTTTCCAGTGTTGTGCAGTAGCGCGAAACAAATGCGTCATGTCAGTATTTTAGAATTATATTTTATATGTATTCGTGCATTGCAATATAATCTATCAATGTTATTTGTATTTTGGTATTAATATACATAAATGGCCGTATTCCTTGTATCCTGAAACAATCAACGGACGTTGCATCTCATTATGATTTGTGGGTAATTCTTTATGACTAAAAAATATCAAGTAGGCATTTTTTTTAGTAGGCTGGTGGAGGGTGAAATGAAGGGCACGCCTGTGCTTTCTTATCATGTACAGAAAGATCAGTTATGTTATAATCGTTACGTGTGACCCCTCCTCTTCCAACTAAATTAACACATGCTTCACGAGATGATTCAGGTGGCATGCAATTGTAGATTTTCAAAGTTCAAAGAGTCCGACTAAACGTGTTTAGAGTACAATGCGGTGGTGCGATCAAAGCAGTGATTCGAAAAAGGCGTTGCACCGCGACAGTTAAGAAACAAATGATGTTATAAACACGCACAAATAAGAATTTAGTTTCCTCCAAATGTGAAATAATTGTCCGTGGGCCAAAACAAAATCAAGCAATATCGAGTTTCTGAAAGCGTATGCCGGCCGGATCGCCGGACGCGGGAGGGCGCCTTTAAGGCTCTGTTATACTCCGACGTAACGCGCGCGCAAGCGAACGCTGGCCGATGTCGGCTACGTCACGTCGGTCACGCCGCGCGCGTCAAAAATTCGACCTCTCTATTAGCCCCGTGATGTTCGCGTGGCGCCGTCTTGCGGCGAACTGAGATGACGTCACGGCGAGGAGAGAATGTTTCCCCGACTCGCCCCGCTCGCCCTGTGGAGACTGTGACGACGGTAGCTGTCGGCGCACTTGTTTCTATTGAATTTTGTTGTGCGTGTTTTTCGTAGGAAGTGTAAATGTTTATATGTGCCTTTATTCAGGCATGGCCTGTAGCTACAGGCAAAACTGCAACCAACATTTTAAGCATGGTTGACAGGGCAGGCAACGCATGAATCGCAGCTGGTATATGAAAATAAAGAAATATGGCCACATTTGCAGGAGCATCACTATAGATTTACATCTCGCACAATAAATGCTGCTGATGGTCTGAATGAATTGGCAAGTTATGTATGCTATTTTTTGTATTTCTGTTTTTAAACAAGATCGCCGAAGCAGAAAAACTGCATGCTGCTCGAGCAACATGGTAGATTCAGTCTGGGCCATGGGGAGAAAATCACAAGTAAGACAGCCCAAGTGCAGGTGCAAAGTAAAAAAAAAACAAGGAACATTTATTATATACCTTGCTCGCATTTGACCTTTGCTGGATTCGCGTAGTATTTCAATGGACTACACGGGTGGTATCTGTGGGCTTGTTTATATCAACCCTCAAGTAATGTATAACAAATCTAAGCGAAGGTGTCTACCTCGTTATTAGTCTTTTAAGCCCTAAAAATGAGATTTTACTTAAATAGAATTGTCCTGAGGCTAATATACCAGGAGCTTTTCTCACGCAGACTGTCGCCCTTCACAGGTTCCACATTTTCTGCTACTAGTGCTGCATCTACCACTGGACGGACGTTCGAATGCTTGCTTTTACTCCTGTTTTCCTTTGTTGTCAGAGTGTCCAGCCGTAGGGAGTATAATTGGAGGCTGAGGAAGCTTTTGGGGACCTGCAGCAGCGTCTCTTTTAATTGGGAAATCACAAATCCCCAATTGTGCGTTTTCTCTTTTAATTGGGAAATGACAATTTCCAGTAATTGTGCATCTTCTATGAACTATATTTGCATACGTGTATGAACTATATAATTAATTCACGAAAAAGCTACATTTATTCAAAACAACCCTGTTTTACGAATGTTTTAAAGATCATCAGACGCAGGGCCTTTAAAACAACTGCGAACCAGCGCATGCAAAGTGGCAGCGCAGAGTCGAAGTCGCGAGCTAATTTGCCGACCACCCAAAGGCCCATGATATAAATGTCACTTTAAATGCCTTGAAAGCGGGATGTAATATCGTCCTAAATCATGAACATCCAAGGAACAGAATTCCAGCGTCTGAAACACTTGCGCCACCGCTTCACCGACCCCTCGCATGATTGCGTTGTGTCGTGTGGACGGGCGGGGAGGTTCATCGGTGGAATGGCCTCCGCCGATAGCGTTCGCGATTTGTAACCCAATTTTGAAGGTAAAAGGGACAAGCAGGCTTATAAAATGTACGGAAGCACGTCAATATCGGCCTAACTCAACGTCTTGTACACCGGGTAAACGAAGTCCAGCTCCTCGAAGAGCTTGCGGCACACAACGCCAGCCAGAAAACCGGTGCTGGGAAGCTAGCCGACGCGAGATTGCGGAGCGGAGTCCTCCTCCTGACGTGCCGGTATACCTCACCCAATCAGGGCGCGGCGACCGCAGCGACGCTTGTGTTCGCTCTCGGGGCTAATAGACCATTCCATTTAGCGCTCTCTGGGCGGCACCATTTCGTTCGACCGCAGCGCCCTCTCCACACATCCGGGAAGTTCAGCGGGTTCGGCGGGGTAAAACGAGAGAGAGGGCACGCGCCCGACTCCACTAGCAGACGACAAACCGGGAGGTTGCCGTTCTCCATCTTCGGGCTGTATCGGCGGGCTCTACCGAACATCGAACTCTCGCTCGTGGCCGCCGTTGTGAAGTGGTTCGCGTTCTTACAATAGTTGTGGCTACTCCAAAATCACCCTATAGCTCTCTGTTGTTCTATTTTGCTAAATGATCAACTAGCTTATCTTTTTTCCGTTACTTAAATAGCAGTTGAGTCAGCCGGCAGTACTACCCTCAACGACTGCGTGTATTGCGGCAGGAGAGCACGTTTTATTTATTATTTCAGACTTCCACTCATGGTCGCTAAAGGCCTACACCAGTACGAACTTTGTATAGTAAAAAAATACAGCAACCAGATTTACTTTTCGTCAGCTGCGCTGGTAACAGCGCAGTTGAACCCTGTGAGTCTTTATCTAGCATCATATTACACGACAACTGGCATACCGAAATCAGTGCATCTGCGCTTGAAAGTTACACAATGACGCGATTTTAAACAGAGTTTGCACGCCAGCCGGACGCTAGCTACAGCCCACTCGGCGGAGCGGTCGACATGCGGGGTGAGAGGAGGAGTGCATTTTTTTTTTCTCTTTTACCCTCTCTGCTATGACCCTAGTGGAACGGTCTATACTCCTGCGGCCCTGGCGGCTCCTTTGGCGCGCGTTGGTGGGCCGCCGGCGCGGTGCATGCGCAGAATCTGAATACGAGGGCACGTTTCCTGCGAGGGTGCGCCACTTCCGGTTCCTTTTCGTTTCGAATAGCAGACGAAAATTCTCGCGCTTCTTGAGTGCTGAGCTCGAGCAATGGCGTGGACGTTCCTTGCGCGACGAAAACTCGCGCTTGCACTCTTAATGTACCGCACCGCCTGCGCCGCAAGCGTAGGCGGTCAATGTACATAGGTACATCTTTGACAAGCTCACGGTCTACGGTACTCAAGCTTCCTTGTGTCGTAGAAACACGGGTGAGGAGGAATTCCCTCGATCAGCTTCTCGACGACCCAGTCCGATTCTTCAAACATGACGCCACACAGAGTGGTGCTCCTGTCGTCTGCTATTGCTCGTATTCGCCGCACTTCCTGCGCGAGGGCTGCGGGAGCCAGCGCG